CGCCCACGACGACGACGACGACGACTACTACTACTACTGCTGCTACTACTACTACGACTACGACTACTACTACTACTACTACTACTACTACTACCACCTGTTCATTCGACTGACTAGCAGTGTCAGCAGCAGTCGTCGTCGTCTTCGTTGGTGGTTCCAAGTCTTTGACCGTTCGTGGGAACATCTTCGTGGGGACACACCCAAAACTCGAACCCTTGACCGCGAACCCTGAAGCCGCAACCACTAAAAGCATGCCCTCCTGCTCTGCCATCAAGTTGTTGAGGGAGTGCTTGCGCCAGACAGTCGCGAGATTCTGAAGCTGCAAAGCTGCAAACTGCTTTCCTTGGCTGGATGGTTCAAAGTACAGGACGTCTCATGGAGATTGGCATAGCATGCAAGGGTTGCAAACACACGGCCGTGGGAAGTGTGGCCCAACCTGGTTTTGCAACAGAGTCCTGCTGCAAAGAGCTCTGCAAATATCTAGATTGCCGGTGACACAGAGGCGCAAATATGCTCAATCGCACAGCTTGAGCACTTCCTAGCTGCACAGCCCTATAAGCCCTAAAGCTACGAGCCAAACACCAGAACCTATCAACTCCAATCCGATACCAGGCCCCCATTTCCCGCGTGACCCGACACCCAAAGGCACCATGAAGGCTTCGAAACCCAAATCCTACGTTGCAGGGTTTCTACGGTTTAGGGGTTCAGGCGCGACGGCTTCAGGTTTCACAGGGTCAGCTTAGGAAAACCCAAAACCCGTCAGGCTCCGGTCAGGGCAACTAAGAAGACCAGATCCGTTTAGGGTTCGGGATTGTTGGGTTTAAGGTTTGGATTTAAGAAGCATGCTGCCCAGGAAGATTCAGGGTCCATGAGCATATAGAACATCCCATTATGAACCTTTAATTATGTAAGCCTGCCAGGTACACCATACTTCCGAAGAGCCCCGTCTGACAGCTATACAAAACCTGAACACAACCAACGCAACCGAAACCCGGCTTGAATCTGATTCTGATCACTAGAACAAAACCAGAAGCCCACGCCTTTTAACATCTGAATAAAATGTTAAAAGCCATACTACATCCTAAGTCCAGCCCCAGATGCCTTCGGAGTCGAACTGGTTTGACAGCCTGGACTAGATATAGACATAATATAGGGGCCTTAATGACCAGAATAGGGTTTGGGGGTCCTTTATAGTACAATTATAATAAGGAACCCCCAAAAATGACATTGGTAATTCTTGAGGCCGCTATATTAGACATAGATGAAGATATAGATACAATCATTAATAAAGCTTAGGGCTTCGTTGAAGGTCTCAGGTTTGGGGGCTTCTTGGTTGGGCTTCTCAGGAACTTTGGGGCTTTGGGTTTCCTGGTCTGGGCCCCGTTCGGAGAGGGGGCTCTGCTGGGTTCTCTGTATGTGTGTGTGCGCACATTTTAGACCTATGCTTTATGCTTTACCGTCTCAGAAAGGAACGGGTCTCAATGATCCGAAACTGCAATGTTGGGCCACAGAGGCCTGGACAGCGGAGTCAGTGTAGTTAGTGATTACCAAGTTCAGAGCTAACCAGGGCCACCTTAAACTCCAACCGAAAAAGCTTTCAACCGGAATAAGAGAACCCATTCAGCCATTCAACCCCTAAACCCTAAACCCTAAACCCTAAACCCTAAATTCAACCCTGAACGAAGGCCCGAGGTCGAGGCATAAAGGCCACCGCATCGTGAAGGCCCAGGGTGCCGTCGGCCTTCAGGGCGCCTTGGACCTGCGCGGTTTAGAGGTTAGGGTTTAGGGTTTAGGGTTTAGGGTTTAGGGGTTTAGGGTTTAGGGTTTAGGGTTTAGGGGGCAGTTTCTTAGGGATCAAATGGGCTTCAAAGGAACTTCAGAATCTGGGGAAGGCGGGATCAAGATCACGCGATCTGCTGTACTGCTATCCGGGGACATCGGGCTTTAAATGGACCCCCCGCACATTCTATCTGCTGAGCCTGTTCTGTTCACTTCAGTCGGACGGTACCGGAGTCCTGCAGGACTCAATAACCCTTACCCTTATACACTTTCCCTTACACTACGAATTCCTCTTCTTCAACTGAACCTTAACCAACCCCAGTTAGGGTATACAACTTTAGGGCTATTTAGGTGTCAGGATGAAGGATAATGAACCCAGTCAGCCCAATACCCCTTCATTAAGGTATATACCTTAAAGCATAATACCAAGGCCCCTATAGTTTGAGGTCTATTCCTTATTTAAGGGGTATTGGGCTCTCAGGGAAGGTTCAGAGCTTGCCGCGTGCCTTTTTGGCGAGCTCCGGCGTGATGATCATGCCTCTGGCTGTGGGATTTCCGGTTTCAGGGGGTTTCGGGGCTTATGTAGGGGATTTCGGGTTTAGGGTTCAGGGTTTAGGGGCTTAGGGGGTTTAGGGTTTAGGGTTCAGGGTTTAGGGTTTAGGGGCTTAGGGGGTTTAGGGTTCAGGGTTTAGGGGGCCTAAGATTTAAGGTTTAGGCTTTGGCCCTGCTTCTGTGGCAAGGGTTGCCGTTTAGGTTTGGTGCATCAAGGTTGACAAACCCAAAAAAGTATACGGGGGATACCCTAAACCCTAAACCCTAAACCAAAAAGGTGTTGAGTACCTATATGGGGGATACTTGTCCAAACCATAATCGTATTTCCGATTATAGAAACCCTACATTCTACCATGTAGGTACTTTGGACCCTTTGGGAAAGGAAAGAGCGGATTTCGATGTCTTTTCTCCCATGTGCCAACCTCGCCATTTTGAAGAGCTCAGAACACGATTCTTCCTTGCTGTGAAACAGGTAGGGTGCACCCTGCCTTCGGGAGAATTATCCAAAAACGAAGGCTTGTCGGTAGGGTTGAGGGTTCAAGGTACTCTTCTCATGGGAACCAAGACGGTGAAAGGATTTGTTTGTGGCGCTTGTAGACTTGATTCGTAATCATACTAACATATGTATGTATGTAGGTGAGTGAGACAACCTGACTCTGGGTTGAGCCTCACACAATCATACTAACATACCCCCGAGCTCCCCCAAGACAGCCTGCTGTTTACGTATTGATGCTATGCTTCAAGAGCATACAAGGGTACTCCAATGAAGAGGGGCCTAATAGCACAAAAACATTGTCTTTGATAATGGAGCGATGATTTTTATCTTTGTCAGTTTGCTTGAAAATATATGGTGTTTTCGTTTATTCGTGCAGCAATGTTCGTGACTTCGTCCTCGTCTGAATTGGGTTCTTTTTGGCGTATTTGTTGGAAGGCGATTCTGTTCAGGGCTTATGTCGAAAGCAGAGATCCGCACTTTTTGAAGTAGCGCATGAACTTTCGAATGAACACTCCTCCCGTCCTTCTAACCACTGCAGCCTGTAGAGAACTTGGCAGGGCTGTCAGTGACTTTGTCGCCTTGAACAGAAACTGCTGGAGGATCGAAGGTAGTAGTTTCAACGTGTTTGCGCAGAAACCTTAACAACATCCGGAAGGCCAACAAACCCTAAACCCTTAACATCTTATAGAGGAAAAATATGTTTTCCCCTATAATATGTTTAAACCCTAAACCCTAAACCCCTAACCCCTAAACCCTATAAACCCTAAACCCCTAAACCCTAAACCCCTAAACCCCCTTGGAAAGGACCGAATGACCTTGCAGCATGTGCGATGAAAGTCTCAGGTCTGAATTCCAGGCTCCCAACTCCCGAAAAAACTGGCAAGCCCCCAAAACCGAATAAAGGGGGCCTTAATAATTAGAATAGAGTTTTGGGGCCCATTATGCTATAATTATAATAAGAACCACAGAAAATAGTATTGGTAATTATTTAGGCCCCTACATGAACTAAGCTTGATACTAACGAACTAACGACTTGAAGAAACGAATCCAACAAGCCTTGCTTGGACTACCGGCCAACAGTTCAACTCGACTCTTTCCTCTTCGTTTGACCGAAAGTTGAAAGCGATGCTGTACTCCTGAGGCCAAAAAAGAGAAGAAGCCCCAATGAAACCCTAACCCTAAACCCTAAACCCTGACCCCCAAACCCTATACCCTTAAACCTTGAACTCTCAACCCTGAATCCTAAACCCTTAAACCCTGAACTCTAAACCCTAAATCCTAAACCCTTAAACCCTGAACTCTAAACCCCTGAATCCTAAACCCTTAAACTCTGAAGCCTAAATCCTGAATCCTAAACCCTTAAAGCCTGAACTCTAAACCCTGAATCCTAAACCCTTAAACCCTGAACTCTAAACCCTGAATCCTAAACCCTTAAACCCTGAACTCTCAACCCTGAATCCTAAACCCTTAAACCCTGAACTCTAAACCCTGAATCCTAAACCCTTAAACCCTGAACCCTAAACCTTAAACCCTAAACCCTAAACCCTTAAAGCTCCACCTTTGGGCCATGTCACGGAGCTTCTGGCCCTTGCCCAGCCCGCGCATGCGCCAAGCACCCTGCCTTGCACCGGGGAGTTAAGGGTTTAGGGTTTATAGGGTTTAGGGGTTAAACAATTGGGAGTTTCCAAAAATTGGGGTACCTTATTTTGGGGTCCTTATGATAAGGGTCCTACTATTTAGGGTACTACATTAGGGTCCCCTATTTTCGGAAACTCCCAATTGCATCTGCCAGAAGGCCAACCCAAAATGCGCGATGACTGCAACGATGCGACAGACCCTACCTATAGTCTCCATTGTAGTTCCTTCTTGTGGTTTACCCAGTTTCTTGTTTAGGATTCTTTCAGGTAACCCCAAAAAGGGACTACAATGGAGATGCTAGGTAACTCATAAAAGGACTTCTGTAGAACCCTGAAGAGCCCTCAGAGAACCCTGCAAGAACCCTGAAAACTTTATGGAACCTATCAAGATGAGAAAGAAGCCTTAAGGTTCGGTCTACTTTCGAGCATGATTATATATGGGTAGTTCTCAAAATTATGGTTCCTTTTGGGGTCCCCTAAATAATAGGTGCCGTATTATAATAAGGACCCAAAAAGGGACCATAATTTTGACAACCCTAAACCCTAAACCCTACTTTTTAGGGTACCCAAAAAGAGACCATAATTTTGAGACAACCACCCATATGGAGAGTCAGGGGATGCTGTCAGAAATTCTTCCGAGCTCGATATGGGGGTTTCCGAAAATAGGGGGTACCTTATTTTGGGGGTCCTTCGGGTTTAGGGTTTAGGGTTTCCGAAAATAGGGGACCCTAACATAGTACCCCAAATAGTAGGATCCTTATTAAAAGGATCCCCAAATAAGGTATCCCTTATTTTCGGAAAGTCCCATATTCGAACTTTTACAGAACCGTCTTAGACCCTCAGCTCCTCAACATCTAAACGAACTCTTCTAGAACCCGAACCCTTGTCGAGCCCTTATAGAATGCTGAAAGAAACCTTCATACACCCTTATGGATCCCTGTCGCAACCCTAAACCCTTAGAGCCTAAACCTTAGAGCAACCCTGAACCCTGATAAACCTTATAGCAACCCTAAACCCTAAAGGCTTCTAGAACCCTTCTGTTTAGAGCCCTCGCAGAAGCCTCGTGGTCAACTCCGCGGGTGGGGTACCGAGAGTTTCTAAAAAGGTTTCTATGGTACTGAGTGTAAGGGAGTAGAGGGGGAACTAATCATAGGGGACTTGAAGGGGGGTCTAAGCACAAGGGACTAGAAGGAGTTCCAAGAAAAAGTGGCTTATTATGGGATTTAGGGACACATGACATGGTGTTTTTCGGGGCCGTTTGCTGTAGCATTGACTATCGAGAACATAAAGGGAACCTTGGAAACCCTAAAGCCCTAAACCCTAAACCCTAAACCCCAAAAACCTACCCTAAACCCATAAAGGAAGCCTAAACCCTAAACCCTTAAAGGAAGCCTTCTTGAACCCTTAGAAAAGCCCTGCGAACCCCCTTCAAGGGTCCCGTTTCAGGCAGCCCTGAAGGGCTCCTATAAGGGATCTCTGGACCTCCCTTAAGGGCTCCTTTAAGGGATCTCCAGGGCTCCCTACAGGGCTCCTTTAAAAGAAATCTCTAGGATCCCTTAGAGGAGCCCCTGAAAGCCACCGGGCAGCGCGTAGTCGCGGAAGGTCATGGAGGCCGAGAGAGTGAGGGCCGCGTAGCTCTGGAGAGGCTGCTTCGTGTCGGTGCCGGTGGTGTGCACCTACGCAGGGAAGTTCGGGAACTCCGGGAAGCCTAAACCCCAAACCGTGAACCCTTATGGTTTTGAGCTTTAGGGTTGGAGGTTTGCGGTATTATACATGGACCACAAGTGCATAATTTTCCTCCCCATTCAGACGTCTTTAGCATGAGACAAACAAGCCAGAGGCCGTACAGAGCAGGGTAGCTGGTTCTAAAATTGCGAAAGTAAAAAAGGTTTCATTCCTGAATGCGAAACCCCACACCCAGAATCAGGCGTGATGGAACCGGGGGAAATGCAACCACATGGGGTCTAACTGCAGCTAACATCTTTACAACAAGACCCTAAACCCTAAACCCTAAACCCTAAAACGAGGAAGCGCCAGCAGGTGCGGGGGTTTGACTTTGCATCAAGACTTGCAAAAGGTTTGGGGCAAAGCAGTTTGGGCAAGACACACTTCCAAAACATGTCCCTAAGCCTCATTGATGCAAGCTCACCCCATAAAACGATGGCGTCATGGTTCAAACAAGTGTTTGTTTTAGCAGAGCTTTCAAGTCTAGGTATAAAAGGACGATGAGGGCATATGGTTACTTCTATTTTTTCAGACGGCGTTTACCCTGCCCTGCCCCTAGCTGCAAATCGCCTGCACAGAGATCGAAGCCTCCATGCAAACTTGTCGACGGCGGCTACATCACCGTTTGTTTTGGGGCTGTCTACGATGGGCAGTATAAAGTTCTGCGATTTGTTCTCCAGTTCTGTATCGACTGTCTTTTCACTCTGCTCGCAACATCCGGTGCACAGAGTGCAAGGAAGCAGAGCAACATTTCCCCAACTACTCCGCAGCACTTAGCAGCATGGGCATGCCGCAAGACAGTCCTGAAGCCGCCAGTCGTATTTGCTGCTTGTTGTGTTATGGCCGTGTAACAACACACTGCTGCTTGTGAGTTGAGTGTTTGCCGTAGTCGCAAGCAAACCCTAAAACCCGAACTGTTAAGCTGCTACCTGTAAAGCAGTAACACCCAGAACCCAGTCCAAACGCACCACGAAGCTCTCGTAGCACCTCCGCGGTGCCCGTACAACACCGCCCACCTAAACAAAAAGAGCTGCTGATAGCCCAGACCCTAACTTAACCCCAAGGGCCCCAAAGAAACATCTGCCTTAACCCTAAAGGGACCCTCGAAAGAGTGTTGCTACATCCTAAACCTGCGACGATGGTCCTGAAAGCCTGGCAGTTCACCTCTAACCTTGAACCCGCTAGAAGCCTTTTCATCATTATAGGCATAACAGCCACCAAGAAGTGCCTGATCGAAGAAAGTGAAGCGCCGGTCCATGGGAACGCCCGCTTCGCTGAGCAAAGCCTCGGAATTGATGCCTAGACATTATATGGCCCAAGTATATACTATATGAGCACATGCATCCTTATACTCCCAAGCCCTAGCCCCTAAACCAAAATATACCAGTAGGCTTAAACTTAAACCTCCTATATGTGCCCAGAGAGCCCAATACCCCTTAATTAAGGAATATACCTTAAATCATAATATGAAGGCCCCTGATATTAAGGTATATTCCTTATTTAAGGGGTATTGGGCTCTCTGGGTAGGTACATGGGCCCCCAGGGCAAGATCATATCAGGATTCCGGGGGTCGAAGTTCTCAGAAACCGGGAATGTCAAAAGGTCTGACAGCAAGCCAAGACTTGTGGTTTAGGGTTTGGGGTTTAGGGGTTTAGGGTTTAGGGGTTTCGGGTTTCGGGTTTCGGGTTTAGGATCCTAGAAGGGACCCTAATTGTGACAACTACCCAAATATACTTAGGCACCAAAGTACCCCGCTATATAAGGCCTATAAGTATAAACTGAATAGGCACGCGGAGCCTTAGGGCACACAAATCGGCACCATGACTTTTGAACGTAGGGGACAGTTTTTGATTTAGGGCTTAGGGTTTAGGACTTCCGTCTAGGCGCCTCCTGCATTGACTAACCTGAGGTCTTACCTGTAGGTCTGACTCCAAAGGAAAAACCACGAAGCCCAAGAATAGGTAAGCCTGCCACAACTGGGCCAGAATAGTATGCTTTCTGCAACAGGATGTATTGTAGGAAAGGTATAGAGTGACTCTAAGCCCTGCGCTCTAAGACCCCAAACCCCTAAACCCTAAACTATAGACGTACAGTGTACTACAGTATCTAAAAACTACCACAGTATAGTATACCACAATATATTAGAATACATAGTAAAGTATACCAATCACAATAGTCTTTAGCAGCGTTAACAACATTATGCCACGGCCCGAAACCCAACACCCCAGGAGCACTCCATCAAAGACGTTTGTTGAGTCGCCGGTTTGACTGCCCCGCGAAGAATGACCATAGGAGCGTCGCGGTCGTCGAAGTAGGCGACACCATCCTAAACTTGAGATCAGGGCACATACAGTAGGCTTACGTAAGCGGGCCTTGGGCCTCAGAGCTTTAGAACTGTAGTGCCTGGAGGTCTCATTTCTAAACCCCACACACTATAAGCTCTGAATCCCTTGTGGTAAGGCTCAGGCTGTACTGCTTACGCACAGTCATGGACCATCGCAGTTTTCTGGTTGTAGTAAATCTCATTCTCAGTAGGATATAGCCTGATCGTATTCAGTTGGGTTGTAAGACTTAGGGGCTGAGTACCCTGGCCCAGAAAAGGTTAACCTTTTGACCTATAGTAGGAGTATATTCGCCCCAAAAGGTTAAAGGCTACCTACTCGGCTACTAAAACGTCATGAGCCTGAAACAGGGCTCAGCTTGCACGTGCACCTTTGGGAGGGAGAATTGGATTGGGTCTGTTGCCGGGCCAGGATCGGGCTAGTTGATATTCAGAAGCTCGGCTGCGAGAGATGGAGCCGCCAACCCTACATCCTGAACCCTAATTTAGGGGCCTTAGTAATTAGAACAGGGTTTTGGGGTGTATTATACTAGATACATATAAGGAGCCCCAAAACCCTATCCTAATTATTAAGGCCCCTATAGTAACTGCAACATCAAGTGCCCAGGCTCCGAGAGCATGATGAGGATGGTTGTGATGATGAAGATATAGTAAGGACAGGTGCTGGCACTAGCGCTTGGTTCTGTACAATAGCAACACAGGAGCTCTTCAAGCTGCTGCTTCCCGTGGTGGGAGCTGTTGGGTGTAGGCTTCGAGTTCGGCTGTTCGCGCATGGTCCATCTTTTAGAGATGGGAGGCACCTGTACTGGTCCCGCAGTGGCCTTGTGGTTTAGTCTGGGACGACATTTTGGCGATCAAGATCAAAAAAGGTTTCGGAACTGCCTTATAAGTACTCACAAAGTGAACTCGATGTTAGACAATTGAGCTGGATGTGGCTAGAATCGAAGAGCTCTTCTGGCAGCATCTTCAGCAGCACTTTCGCCACTTCTTCGTTGGTGAAGCCCATGACCAGTGCACCCGTGTCGATGAGGCAGTGGTACACAGGGTCCTGCAACGTCCGTTACCTACTAGCTGGTATGGGATGCATGGCATCGTCAAGTTTGAATGGGTAAACCAAGAGCCGCCAAACGGCTGATGCATGGGACTTGTTTTCACAACTCGAACATGGTGTCATGGGTTTTAGGTTTTGGGGGGGGAGCGCGGACAGACCCCACCAATCCTACCGATACTAGCAAGGATCAGCTATCGCTCCAGGCAAAGATTCGCGTTAGACTACCCCTAAACCCCTAAACCCTGAACCCTTAAACCCCTAAACCCTAAACCCCTAAACCCTTAAACCCCTAAACCCTAAACCCCTAAATCCTAAACCCTAAACCCTTAAACTCCTAAACCTTGCAGCTTCGGGCTCTAAGGATCTATGCTGGACCATGATTTTGAAACGGCCCGGAATCGACTAGAGACCCTGCGAACTGAACCCTAATCCCCGCACCTAAACCTAAAGCCTTAAAAGTTTAGGGTTTATAGTGTTTAGAGTTTGAAACTTAACTTAGTTTGGGTTTGGGTGAAACCTAAACCCTAAAAATTGAAAGTTGCATGGTCGTGGATTCCAGCATCTTCGCTGGGTGAACGCGGTCCTTGCTCTTGGCCACCATGCTCCTTAGAGGGTCTACGGGTTTTTAATGCTTCGCGTTCGGGTGTACAGGTTGAAGTCTTCGGCCTACAAAAATGCCAAGAACTGGTGGAAAATCAAGCTTCAAGACCCACCCCTGTGCCGATGTCTCTTCCAATCTTCAACCTTCCCCATGCTGACAGGCGGCAGGATGCTCTCGGGGGACCAGTCAGCTGCCATTTCGATGAGAGGCGGAACCACGTGCTGTTCGTCGCTTAAGACGGACAAGATCTCACCTGTCGGTACTGTAGGGGCCTAGATAATTACCAATACTATTTTGGGGTTCCTTATTATAGTGTAACGCGCACCAAAAGCCTAATCTAATTATTAAGGCCCCTATATATGGCTCCTTGTTATAATCATAGTATAATGGGCCCTCAAAACCCTATTCTAATTGTCAATGCCCCTATATCAGTTTGGTCGTTACTACACATGGGAGTTCTGGGCCTCTAACCATTCAGGAGATCGGCCACTATCCTTAGGGTTTAGGGTTTAGACTGTCAGGAGGGCTGGAGTCTGTCGGCAGGGTTTGCAAATGCGCTTCTTCGGCAGCTAAATTCAGCTTAGCTTAGGTCTGTCTGGCGGATTGAGCTCATCAAATTCAATTCAATCTGAAAGTCCTAAGCAGCATGCAGATTGGGTGGACATCAATGCTTCTGCAACCTAAACACAGAATGCATTACGGTCCATGGATGGACAACGGCATCATGTATCTGTGCTGGATCCCGCATCCACGACTCGCACAAGTTGAATGGCTTACTCTTAGACTCTTAGACTGCTTTGCCCCTGGTTCATGGAGGTCATAACCGCTATCCTACACTCGTGCCAGCACCTAACTGACCCCTGACACACGGCGTACAACCACCATGTCCTCTTCCCCTTTGTGATACATGGGCTCACAAAACCAACTAGGAATTAGAACAAAGTTTAGACGTACATTAGCACTATACCTTTTTGGGGACTGTAAGGAAATACCTACTAGTACGACCTAGTCCGACCCCCATACCCTAAACCCTAAACCGCCAAACCTCTGAACCCCTCAACCCCTAAAGCCCTGACCGCCCATGGCATTTCAACCGTCTGCGCCTTCACCCTAACCGCTAAACCCTAAAGCCCCATACCCTAAACCCTCAACCCGAAACCCCAATGCCTTCATTCTCGGCTTCGAAGAGGCAAGTGCCAAGGTCTTCGGGCAGCAGGGACGACGGCGTGCCGGAGAAGCCTGCCAAGCGGTGTTGATACAAGGGGGCTGAATAATTAGTATAGTATTCACTACTTATTGCAAAAGAAAAAACGCCTTGTTTGTGAGAGTAGGGTATTCGCGGCAAGTTATAGTCTAGGAATAGAAAAACTGGCACAGACTAAGAGTTGTCCTTTAGGGGTGTGATTTGCCAGGGGGTTCAGAGCTGAAAGCAGGAATCTCGGGGATTCCGCCGGAGCAGAGGAACATCATGAGGAACCCGGCGGGCACCCTGAAATGCAGGGACCTTAATAATTAGAATAGGGTTTTTGGGTTATATTATACTATAACTATAATGAGGAACCCCCAAAATAATCTAGGTAATTCTTAAGGCCCCTACATTAAAGAGTTTCCCTAAATGACAATGCGCACTGACTGCTGAGGCTATGTTAAGAACCAGCAGCAGGAGGTCGTCAGAATCACATCTACGGCTGGATTCTGCTGTGTCTGATGCCTCCAGAACAACAGCAACTACGATTGCTGCGTACTACTACTACTACTACTACTACTACTACTACTACTACTACTACTACTACTACTACTGCCACTGCTACTGCTTTTGATACTGCTACCATAATAAGGATCAGAGGTGTAGTTTTCGAAGCCCATGTGCGGGGAAGCCCGACTTCTGCGTGGGCCTATGCGCGAAGAGAAGAGCATGGAGGAGCCCAGCTCTTGCCCCGTCGCCGAGAGTTTGTAGGGCTGCTGTCGCCTCGCTGGGTTTAGGGTTTAGGGTTTAGGATTTCGGGTTTAGGGTCGGGGGCTGGGTTTAGAGAGTTTGCTGTCGGTTTCGGCTCTTGGGAGTTTGGGGCTGCGGAAGTTTAACTTATTGCGTAGAGTCTAAAGCACATGAACTACCTTACATGACGATAACAAGAGCGGAAGCTTAGCAGTACCGTAGAACCCACCAACCTGCACAAAGCCCCAGCCTCATAAAACCGACTGAACCCTTATCAAATTACAACCGGATTCGAAACCGAATGAAAGCTGGTAAAGTTCTACGCATTTCAAAAGCTGAACCCAAAGCCAAGAAGCAGCACGGCATCAAAGACCATGGTCAACAGATACCACAACACGATTTCCGGGACGGGACCCAAGAGTTCCATCGCCACCTGCGACGGCTTTGGGCTGGCAGTATCAAGTTTGAAAATTGAGCTAAGGGCTTGGTGTCACAGTTTGTGCTTTAGGCTTTAGGTTTGATTTTCAGTGGAGGTTCTGGGGTTTTATCATTTCAGGGCAGTTCAGGGTGCTGGAATCAAAGAGCTCGGGCTTTGTCCCCTTGAGTCCATGTACCTACATGGTATATACGGTGGCCCTGAGGTACCTATACTACGGAACCCCAAAAACAACCTGAACAAAAACCGCAGGGTTGGGATATCCCATACTCTCTGCTGTTTACAGACATCCCACCCAAAAGTTTAGGCTTGGGCGCTCTTTCCCTGACATGCAGAAACTCCTTGGGGGGTTGAAGATTAAATAATTATCAGACCGGGCCCTTAGTTTCGAGAAGCCCTAAAAAAGCTCCCTAAACCCCAAACCCTAAGCCCAAAGCCCTAAACCCTAGAGCTTCATGTTGCTATAGGCTCCAGGATCACGGGTATGTATGTATATATATATATATATGTATACACACTGATTTCCATACATATATATATAGAGAGATAGAGAGCGAGAGATAGCATATGTGCATAGTTATATATATATATATATATGCATGCATGCATGCATGCATGCATGCATGCATGGATGGATGGATGGATGGATGCATGGATGGATGTATGTCTATGTGTATATATTTATATATACATACGTATATGTATGCCTCGTGCAGACCCCTGAACCTCGGTATGAGCCGGAGGTGGCCCATGCACTGTTACATGTAGGGAGCTTTCGCCGCCTGTGCGTGGCCCTCAGGCTTCTTTTCCTGCACCGTTCCACCTGCAGCTCAGTCAAGAGCAAGATGCAAGCAGGGGTTAGGGGTTTAGGGTTCAGTAGTCGACAAAAAGAAGCATGTACCGCACTGACCATCAGAAGATAACCACGAAGTACAACGCTTGCAAGCAAAATGCAAAGCTAACAAGCCACACGGGCGGTGTTCTTGCTCTTCATCCCTGAAGCTCCAGCTCCAGAATCCTTTACCCTGGCCTAGGTCCCGTTACATTGGAGCAGCTCCATGCATGGTTACCACTAGAGAAAGTAGCTTGCTCAGCATTTTCGCAATGCACCGATAAGGCTGTAGACCCTAAACCCCACACACCCTAAACACTGTAGATATAGCTGGGGCTCACGAAGGCTTGAGTTCGTCAGCACATATTAGCAGTGTAGGAGTCCTGTTCAGGACCTATATCTTGAAGACGAGACGTTGCCTGAGGTTCGTTGGCTGAGCTTTGAGACTGTTCGAGACACCAGAGTTTGCACCGGAGGCAGGGAGTTCCTACTGGGTGCACAAGGATCGGAAAAATACCTGGCCCCATGCTACCTGCTACCAGTACTGTTGCGGATCTGCTGCTCTGCTTCAGCACCAGCCTGACTTTGAAGTTGTTAACAGCACTGACGACCGGTTGCACCGTCCCTCATTATTGCTGCGACTACAACGATGAGTTCCACATATTTGTCTATTGCCGACGAGACCGCACGGTCTAATCAAACAGCACTGCATTGTGGCACTTGTTCTTGCTACTAACTTTGCACCAAATTACTCCATTATTACTTGGACGTGCTCATCTGCGCAATCTCCACCCTCGACCCTAAACCTTAAACCCTAGGCCCTCAACCCCTAAACCCCCCAAAAACCTTACCTGCCCTCTTCTTCACATCGGCTTCCTCGCCTGCCAAAGCCGCATCGCCCGCATCGCCTTCGGGCTTCTCCTCCGCCTCCTTCTTCTTTTTCTCCTTCTTGCTTTCCTGTCAGTGTGGCCTTAACGATTAGAAGCGGACTTGGTGGGGAGTACTATAATATAGGGTTTACGGTGAAGGCATGGTGGGCTTTGAACTGGCACTTTCTTCTTGGTATCTTGGTTCTCTTGGCATGGGACTACAGAAGCAGCGCGGCGGTGGGTCTAACAGAGGGGCGTCGGGTCGTGGGTTCTACTGTAGTTTTCTCTTGTCTTACGGAACACTGAGGAATAGTATCGGTGACTGTTCGCGTCCCGGTTTTCTTACCTGCCCAGTATCCTTGGAGAATTCAAGGTTAGCCAGAGGACTGAGCAACTAAGGCGTAAGCGTAGTTCGTGTAGCAAAGACCCCACGTCAGGTGCGTTTTGCTAGAAGCCTTTGCCGCCCCTTACACTAAACTAGCAATGAACCTCCAAGTAGTTTAAAGACTTTGAAGCCCAAAGCCCAAAGCACTGTCGCTCGTCTGCAGTGGCACATCATCTCAAGGTGGGGCACGGGCTTGAGGCCATGCGGCCATGAGCTCGCAGTAGTAGTAGTAGTAGTAG